GAATCAACCCCAGCTGATTCTACAGTCAAAACAAACAAGCAGCCCTCAATCCCCAAGGTCACTTCAGGTCTTCACAGTATATAGATACAAAAAAGGCAAAGGCTTTTTTTTCACACCCCTGACCAATGTTCCCTCTAATTTTTTTCAATCCGTGTGCAAGATACATTTTGTTATATGCACTGAGGCATGTGGAGATGCACATCGCCAGTAGGAACACATGCTGCTAGCTGTGGATGCTCTGCTAATCATCTGAGCGGCATTTGAATCTCTTCTGGGTGGCCATTCAAGTGCTTACAGGGAACACTGCTCCTGAGCCAGAAAGTTACAGCACAGTAAAGAGCCAGTGTAGCTTAGCCACTGGGGTACGTCTATACTGCATACTTATTTCAGAATAAGCTATTCTGGAATAGTTATTCCGAAATAGCTTATATCGAAATAGCACGTCTACACTGCAGGGAAGCCTCACAATTAGTCTGAGGCAGGCTTCCTTAATGTAGACATGCTATCTTGATTTAGAGCCCCAGGAAGAATAACTTAGAATGGCCTTGGTGAGGGGCTATTTCAAAATAGCAGCAATGGAGCATCTACACACTCCTTATTTTGAAAAAGCTGTTTTGGAATAGGTATTATTCTTCATAGAATGAAGTTTACAGAAGTCAGAATAAGCTGGCCCTCATTTAAAAATTATTTCGAAATAACAGAATTGCTGTGTAGACGCTCGCATTATTATTTTGGAATAACGGCTGTTATTGTGAAATAACTTTGCTTTGTAGACACATCCTATGTGGCTAAGATGCATGTGTTTACAGTTCTGCAGGGAATCAGATGCTCCTACACAGTGGACATGCATCACCTTACAGCAATTACAACAGAAAACATATGAGATTAATGCTTTAGAGAAGACAAATGTTGAAAAGCACACATTTTACATCCTTCCCTTGTAGCCATTCCCCAAAACAGATGGGAGTTTTTTTCAGTGTTTTCTGAGAAAGATATCAAGCTATTTGAAAAGGCTGACTGCAAAAAACAAACTTTCTTTGTGAGTCCTTCTAAATCAGGGTTTCCCAACCTATGGGTTTGGACCCAAATATGGGTCGCCATTACATTTCAAAAGGGTTGCCAGGTGTCTCCCCAGATGGCTCTTAAGGAATCATTCACACATTTTTTTTGAATTGCCCTGGCTCACCAAGTCTTCCTGAATTGTCAAAATGGGTCCCCATCTGGAAAAGGTTGGGAACTACTATGCTAATACAGACATACAAGTCCTGATAAATAGATGTGACTCCTCACCTTCGTGCTTACATAAGAATTTACCTTTGAATAGGAGGAAATGATGGCAGTTGATCTAAATGGGAAGCCTTAAAGCTGTTGGAGGTGAAACTGATAGCCATATTCAATGCCCCCTGTGGAACAGATACAGAAATTTAAATAGTAAAAGATGGAGATTTCTGGAAAGCAAATAAAGGTCTCAATCTTCAAAGCAAGGTTGCCACCACAAATGGGTCTAAACTACATTAACCACAAAATTCTAATCACAAGGAACAGCAAACAAAACGTTGTAGAACTCTGGAGTGGTGAGTAAAGGGGTAGTACATGTGTTTAGAAGAGGACTGGAAAGGTAAGCCCATATATCAAAGGCCTGGCATGAGGCCTTGGCAAAAGTAGTTCAGACTTTGCTAATATAAAACCAAGTTGAACTTGGAGTAAGAGGCAGGCCCTGCTCACAAAATCTGACAAGAATAGGGCGGATATTGCAGAACACACATACCTAAGAGATACAAGGCACAAATCATGTAAACCTATTCTAGAAGGATGGTACCAGGACACCCCATTAGGAAACATCTTTGTGCCAGCATGTTCTCCACAGATAACAAGAATGTCATTCAATTTGCTCTTCCAAGTCTGCTTTGAAAGTCAGTCATTCAGCCTTGCTAGACCATATATAAACCAAATTGTTTCTATACATTTCCAGTAGATGAGCAGATTCGAATTTTTACAGAACGCAGAGGTCTCAACCCACATCAGGGCCTCATTGGTATAGGCACTGTGCCAACGTATAGGAAGATCTAGTCCCTGCGCCAAAGAGTTTACAATCTACACAGAGAAGGCAGACAAAAGTTTGAGAAGAGGAATGCAATATATAAATAGAGTAAGATTGATGATTTTTTTAAAAATCAAGGAGGCGTTGGTAGTTGGGATGTTAATTATCAGCTAATTGAATAGTCAATTAACCTCAAATTCTTATCCTTTAGTTGACTATTCTATAATCCCCGGGAGCCACTGTGTGTGAGGGTGGGTCTGAGCTTCTCAAGCCAGAACTGAGCCCGACTGCCTGCCCACCTGGCTCCTAATACACTTAAAATCCAGAGCTGCAGTGGGGACCCAGTAAAATGCTGGCCAGCCTGCTAAAAATTTACTGGCAAGAATTAAGCTATAAGCTTTTGCTTATTGGTTAATCGACTATACTATTACATGCCTAGTTGGTAGCACTTCATAACGAAGGGCATTTTGGACTTTTTTTTTTAAGCCACTCTACTGCAATGCTTCTCAGCCTTTCCTGATTACTGTACCCCTTTCAGGAGTCTGTTTTTTATTTCAAATCCCAAGTTTCACCTCATTTCAGAACTACTTATTTACAAAATCAGATCAAAATTCAAAAAAGTGTTATAGCACACTGAAAAATGGCTTACTTTCTCATTTTTACTATATAATAATAAAATGTCAATTGGAATATAAATATTGTAGTTACATTTCAGTGTGATACTAGAACCTGCTTTTCACTTGTGACCCTGGTCATTCTAGGAGGCAGTGAAGGAAAAGCAACAATTAAGTTTTTTTCTACATTGAATCTGTTCCTACTTTTTGTCCTGATGGCAGTCATAGAAGGAAATGAGTTTATCAAAGATGTGTTGACCCAAAAGTTAACAGAACAAGTACAGTTTCCAAGATCAGTGTGTTGTTTCTGTACTAAACATCAACACTGGTTACTGTGGAGTCATTAAAACTCATTTACAGACCACAGTCTCAGAACAGTTCATGCAGATTTTCTTGCTGACTGGCAGAGAGGCTACATTCATTTTGTCAAGATGTAAACAGCAGTGTTTCTTACCCACTCGAGTGGAGCTGAGTTGTGTTGAATGTTGGGGGAAAGGATCTTGAAATCAGATGTCAAGTAGACCAAATAATCTACTATATTGTTAATTTTGCTGTGCTCAGTTTTCCCAGTGCTGACATCAGTGACATATGCATGAAGGCATGGAAAACATGGTAAGTCTTTGTCTCCACATTTTGAC